TGATGCGGGCTTGTGTCTGGACAGACAAGTAGATGGGGTCAAGCTTCTTCGAAGAAAAAAAGTTGATAGGGGTGGGGGGCTTGTGTCTGGACAGACAAGTTTAGGGTTTAGGGTTTAGGGTTTAGGGTTCAGGGTTTAGGTTTCAGGGTTTAGGGTTTAGGGTTTAGGGTACACTATGTGAGGATTTTTTTGACTTCCACAGAAAGACACATGACAACATGTGATGCTTTCCTTTTTTCACAGAAACACACATGACAACATGTGACGGTCTTTCGTTTTTTCACAGAAAGACACATGACATCATGTGACGTTGTTTGCTTTTTCACAGAAAGACACATGACATCATGTGACGTTATTTGCTCTTTCACAGACAGACACATGACGTCACATGATTTCTTCCGGCTCTCTAATTAAAGACACATGACATCATGTGACGTGCTTTGCGTTTTCACAGATTGTCACATGACGTGCATTTGTTGGCACAGGTTGTCATGTGACATGTTTTTTTTGTCACATGACATTCTGTGACGGTCACAGGTTGTCACAGTATGTCATGTGTCTTATTTGGTGCGCCACAGCTTGTCACGTGACGTTTTTCGATGCCGCAGAGTGTCATGTGACGTTTTTGGGTTTGTCACAGAATGTCATGTGACACAGTGCTTGTGTCACATGACACTCTGTGACGGTCACAGGTTGTCACATGACGTGTGGTCCTTCTTCACAGAAAGTCACATGACATCATATGACGTGTGGTGGGTTTCCACAGAAAGACACATGACAACACATGACGTGTGCTCCTTCTTCACAGAAAGACGCATGACAACACATGACGGGGGGTGGGTTTCCACAAAAAGACGCATGACAACACATGACGTGTGCTGGGTTTCCACAAAACGACGTCACAGGTTTTGGTTTTGTGCTGCCCAAAAATTGGTAGACCAACTTAAGGTTTGGGGTTGGGCGTCAAACCTTATAGGGTCTGGCGTCAAACTTTCACAGTCCTTTAGTGCATGCTGGTATTATGACCCTAAACCCTAAACCCTAAACCCCTAAACCCCTAAACCCCTAAACCCTAAACTCTAAACTCTAAACCCTAAACCCTAAACCCTCAACCCTTACGATACTACAATACAGGGTCGAGAAAAGGTTGAGGGTTTAGGGTTTAAGGGTTTAAGGGTTTAAGGGTTTAAGGGTTTAAGGGTTTAAGGGTTTAAGGGTTTAAGGGATTAAGGGTTTAAGGGTTTAAGGGTTTAAGGGTTTAAGGGTTTAAGGGTTTAAGGGTTTAAGGGTTTAAGGGTTTAAGGGTTTAGGGTTTAGGCCTAAACCCTAAACCCTAAACCCTAAACCCTAAACCCTAAACCCTAAACCCTCAACCCTTACGATGCTACAATACGGGTCGAGAAAGGTTGAGGGTTTAAGGGTTTAAGGGTTTAAGGGTTTAAGGGTCTAAGGGTTTAAGGGTTTAAGGGTTTAGGGTTTAGGGTTTAGGCCTAAACCCCTAAACCCTAAACTCTAAACCCTAAACCCTAAATCCTAAACCCTTAAACTAAGGGTTTTGGAGGTTGATATTATGCTACTATTTTGTTTATTTTATAACCACGATAACATTGATGATATGTTGATATATCATGATGTTTCGTTCATATGGTTTTATGCCATTTTTGATGTAATGATCTCGTCTTATTATATTCTATTTAGTATTATGCAGATATGTTCAGGCTCCACTTCTAGAACTTGTCTGTCCAAACATTCAGGATGCCCATGAATGTCTGTCCAGACATTAATGATGCCCATGCTTGTCTGTCCAGACATTAAGGGCTCAGGTCAAGGTTCGTGTCTGTCCAGACATTAATGATGCCCATGCTTGTCTGTCCAGACATGCGAACTGCCTGTCCAGGCACCTTGTCTGTCCAGACATTAAAGAGAAGAAAGAGAAAATGAGAAGCAGTGCTTGTCTGTCCAGACATGCGAATTCACTCTTGTCTGTCCAGACATGCGAAATGCCTGTCCAGGCACCTTGTCTGTCCAGACATGTGCGTTTAAGTGCCTGTCCAGGCACTTAAACCCGAAAGCCTAAACCCTAAAACCTAAAGACCCTAAACCCTAAACCTCAAACCCTAAATTTAGGGTTTATAAGGTTTATCAGGTTTAGGGTTAACCCTCAAACCCTTTAACCCTAAAATGGGGTTTATAGGGTTTTGTGTTTTTAGGGTTCAACCGAGCCTATATATATATATATATATACAGCTATATGTAAATATATATATATATATTCTAAAGTTTCTCTGTATGTACAAAACGGACTATATCGATAAACAACAAACACACATTTCAAGCTTGACAAATGTGATTTCCTAAGCATGAAAATTCAAGATTTTTTCAAGATTGAAAAACATGTAAACATGAAAATTCAAGATGTTTTCAAGATTGAAAAAAGTGTAAACATGAAAATTCAAGATCTTTTTCAAGATTGAAAAAGTGTTGTTTTTGAAAAATCAAGCGCAGATTTTTAAAATTCAAGATTTTTTTCAAGTGCAAAATTCGTGACCTGTCCACAAATTCAAGATTTTTTCAAGATTTTATTCCATTCAAAGACATTCCAAGCTTGATTTTTAGCTACTTTTCTCCATTTTCAAGCGCAGCTTGAAAACTCAAAAAAATCAAGCGCCAGCTTGATTTTTTTCAAGTTTGGAGCCTATGGGTTGGTTAGCAGGGAAGGAGGGAATTAGGGCCCTATAGATACCCTTTCAGGGATTATGTAGGGTACCTCACCCCCCACCCATTCTCTACTAACCAACGGTAAGTAAATAGAAAGCGTGCGGCACGGCCTCTGCGGTCGCGGCCCTAAACCCTAAATCCTAAACCCTAAACCCTGAAGGGTTCTTCGCGCAGAGCCCAGATGCAAACAGGGCTGATAGGGTCATAGGGTGGGGTTAGGGTGAACTGGGGATTTGGGGGGGGGGGGGGGGGCCCTTTAAGGGGATTGAATTCTTTTTAGGGGTATAAAAGGGGTACCCCTATCTTGGGAAATACCCAGCTGAGGTTTCGGGGGTGCTTGTGCTCGTGAGTAGGTAACTCTTTCTTGGTAGCATTTTGGGCCCTAAGACCCCCTCGAGAATGCTCAACCAGAGAAGGCATCGGGGAGCTTGACCCCCTGAAAAAGGGAGAAGTGCAGGTAGGAGGGCACACTTACAAAAAGAAGCTGTCAATATTGGACTTCGAACCTACATCGGCTAGAATACTTGTGTCCAATTTGGGCTTTTCCTGGCAAGGCTGCTTGCTACCTTGACCCTGAACCCACTCTGAACCGGTTAAATCCCCATCGAATCGACTATACCTAAGCCCTAAGACACCAAGACCCTCAGTCTCCAAGAGGCTAAACCCTACAGGTCCTGAATGCCCACAACCCCTATCAACCCTATCATGAACCCAGCAAATCCTACAAACCCCCATAACTAAGCCGAACCCTAAACCCTAAACCCTTTGGACGGTTCCCTGCGGAATGGTCCCAGAGGGGGCCTATAAACCCTTAACCCGAAACCCGAAACTAAACCCTAAACCCTAAACCCTAGACCCTAACCCTAGACCCTAGACCCTAGACCCGAAAAGCACCCTGAACCTTCGGGCTGCTCACAAGAAGGGCGAAAATCCCAACCGCAAAAGCTAAGCCGAACCCTCAACTAAATCAACCCCTAAACCCTAAACTGGTAGCCATTTTGGCTCAAGTCATGTGTGAATGGCTGCCTCACCACCAACATTTAACTGCCCTAGGCACAGCTGCCAGTTCAATGTGAAGCCGGCGCATCCCAAGGATAGCTAGGATTAATAACGCCCTCATTCTCTGCATCAACTGACTTCAGGGAGCGCTAGCCGAAACAGCCTGGCATGAGCTCTTGCAACGGCATGCAGCAGCTCTTTCAGCATGCAGCCATAGTAGACAAGTAGTGCATGTAATTTGTTCCGCAAAAAATAGTAGGGATGCCACCAAAAGAAATGAAAGCTGCGGCGAAGGAGGAGCCGAAAAAGAACCAGTCCCTGTGAAAGAAACATCACAAGCCGAAGCTAAGCTCGAAGCTAGATGCGACAAGCTGCAGAAAGACCTCGAGAGGTCACGGCAGGACAACAGCGTACTCGAGCAGAGGGTCGGAGACCTCACTTCCCAGGTGAAGCAGCTTACCATGGAAAAGGAGGCCAGGGTCGCCACTACCAGATCCGCTGAGCTTTCCACGCATTTTGATTTTGATGGGCGCTGATTCGTGCTTGAGTTTCGGCGTATTGTTCGCAGTGTCTGCATATAAACGTCTGATTGGCAGCGTTTCCCAAAGACCCCCAATCTGGACAAGCGCGTTAGAACAGGAATTGGCAGCTTTTTCAGGACAACAATCGCTGAAGCTCAATCCCGAGGGCTGGGGCCCAAGCCTCGGCAGTCGCAACGCTAGGTGCGGGGTGGAGTGAGTCCGCATCAAATGTACACGCAATCCAGGATTCAGACTCAATATGCTTCGTGCCATGTCCACATCGACCGGGGCTAGTGCCATGAGGAGAAGCCTGTGGCAAGTTCTGAGCAGTCTCGTCTCCCAGCGCTGTGGACCACAGTCAGACGAATTCCTTCCTGTGCGAGTTTGTTTTTTTGCTGCGTGATGATCGCCGATTGCCTGCGTGGCATCTTTGCTGCGCGTTTGTAGTTGCCAGCCATGGCTGGACCATCAATTTCTGTATGAGACACAGAGATGACAGAGAGCACCTTGGGGCGGAGTGACGTGATGGACGAGTGGTGGGGTCCTTGCGTGAAGACCATGACCCACCAGAGCATAAGTAGCCGAACTGAGAGGGGTTTCACCATAGCACTGTAGCAGTCCTGCCCGCAAACATGTGAGTTGTAGTGATGCCGACCTGTATTGGCAGACCTGGCGACGATTCCCTTCGAGTCGTGTTGGGGGTATACTGTTACCTATCCTGTTTCGAGTGTTGTGAGCCAGGGCCCTAGCTGCCAGTGGCCGATGCCCATGTACATTGAGTTGGCACTGCGGCCCGCTGGGTGTTGGTGGGTGTATACTGTTCACTGGCATGCTTTCGGGCGCACGGCCAACGAAGACGAGCGTTTCGAACCTCTGTTCCAATGAGACACGAGGTTCTTGCTGTCGAAACTTGCCACAATCCGGTGATTATGCTGGGTGTATACTGTTGCCTATCCTGCTAGTGGCCACCTCCAATGAGTGGTGGTATCTCAGCTTGTGGATTCTACTGGAGCCTTGCACGTGCGCTAGTGTGAGAGTCGAAAACCCTAAACCCTAAACCCTATAACTCCTGAACTTCAGGCTGCTTACTGCCCTAGCTGCTCTGACCGCAAACCCGAAACCCCTATACACCCTGAACCTTCAGGTTGCTTACTGCCTTAGCTGCTCAAGTTGGCTTGAAGTTCCTCTTCGCCAATGTCGTCGAAGTCAAGCGCCTCGGCAGGGTTTAGGGTTTAGGGCTTGGGGCTTGGGGCTTAGGGCTATGGGTTTAGGACTGCGTATCACGGTACGGAATGGTACGGACACCTGATTCGACTCAACTTCTTGGACCTTTATACAGGACCCCGTTTTGGATGTCACGACGTCTTTTTGGATATCACACGTGTGGGCTCTAGCATCTTAAGTATGCTTGGAGTGCATGCCTTGGAGTGCGTGTGCGGCCTCAGTCAACAGTGTTGAGGTTGACCTGAACTGGCTAGTCCTCGAGCCCAGTTGTAAAAAAGGCTTATATGTTGTTCAGGGTTTAGGGTTCAGTTTCTTTTCTGACCCAGGCTCGTGGAGAACGACTCCACGATGAAGTTGCACCCAGTTGTGACACTCTTAGCTGCTCGGGGGCAACAATTATGAGATCTACATGCAGTTGAAGGAATGCCCCCCAGCCCGACAGACGACGCCTTTTGAACATTGGATTCCAACCCATACCCATGGGGCCGCATCCCTGTACTTCAGGATCCCTGCGCACGCTCCGAATTAAGGTGCACGTGGGCCCCCTGGTCCCTGCCACCCGCGCACTGTCCAGAAAGCTAAGCCTGCCTTTCCCAACGCCACAGAAAAACCGGGCTCACTGAAATATCAAATGCTATGCCTCCAACCCTGCACAATCAAGAAGACTTAAACCCGGTCCATTAGGGGCGAGGATTTGTTTTTGAGTCGCGGGTGTGGCTTGAACTAGACCTTTTCAGGTTTTGTTGGTCGTATTGTAAGGTTTGCGTACATCTGCATGTATGTGCTTATATCTAATATAGATACACACGCGCACTGTTTTGGGTTTGTGTATTTGAAAAAATATATAAACACACACATATATTATGGCTTTATGGTTATAAGTTGTGTATAGAGGGTTTGGTGAGGTTGTTCAGGCTTTGATACGGCTTGTATGCTAGCACTAGGTAGCACACGTTATCAATGACATGCTCCCTTAAGCCTGTACATCCTTCTGCAAGCGGTATAGGTTTTAGGGTTGATATAGGGTTTTTGTAATTCGTCGGGTGTAGCTCCCACTCAGGCTGTTACGTTTTTCGGCTTCCTCTGGGGTCCGACTGGCATGCTCCTGTCTGTGCCGATGATGACGTCGCTGGGATGCTGTGTGTGTGTGTGTGTGTCAAGTTCAGAGTTCAGCGTTCAGGGTTTATAGGGCTTAAAGGCTCAGGGTTTGGGTTGAGGGGTGTGCACTTTGGAACTGAGGGCGTTTGGGGTGCAGAGGGTCCCTATCTTCCGTGAAGCCTTTTATGCTAGAGGTTTTCCGGGTCCATGTCCTGTGCCATGGAAGATTACGGCTCGCTGTCGCACTGCCCAGCTGTCCCCTAGAACCGAAAGTCGCTGTTCAATCGTAAGCCTCAAGGGTCCCCTGCACCTGTATGGAAAATACTTGGGCATTAATGGGGGTTCCTCTATAGTATAGCCTTAGGGTTGAGGTATACTATATAGGTACATGTACCCTTGGGGACCTAAACCCTAAAACCCTAAACCCTAAACCCCTAAACCCCTAAACCCTAAACCTTCACGATGCCGAGGTATTTCAAAGCTGTTCTCTTGGCTGAGCCTTATGGCAGCAGTTGTCCCTGCTCGTCGGAGGCTTCCTCTCGCCAGTGGGCACATGGGAAGGTTTTGTGAGGAGCACGCCCTAAACCCTAGACCCTAAACCCTAAACCCTAAGCCCGAATAAGGATGATGCGAACCTGAGGTACGTCCCAGCAGGATACCGTGATCCACTCCTGATCCTCATTGAGGGCGACCGCCGGGCGCCGCGGAGGATCCCAGGGTCTCTGAGGGTGTAGGGTTTCAAGGGCTTAAAGGGTTTAGGGTTTAGGGCTGGGGTTTAGGGTTTAGGGTTTGGGGTTGGGGGTTTGGGGTTTGGGGTTTGGGGTTTGGGGTTTGAAGGGCTTAGGGCACAGGGTCTCTGAGGCTTGGATAGATCCGAGCTACTTTGCAACTCGCAAGGTCCAACGACACCTGGCACGAGCTCAACCACAACACAAAGATTTGACGCACAGTTAAGGGGTTTTCGACAATAGCGGTACCCTTTTTGGGGATCCCTTTCAAAGGGGCTTCTATTCTATTTGGGGTATAAGACTTGAACCCTCATTTTGGGAAATACCCACCTAGGGGACCCAGAATCAGGGGGCATAAGGAGGGACAGCCAGAGGGGACCCTTGATCAATTCCCCTCGATATACCTTATATATATATATATATATATCTATCTATATCTATATCTCTTATCTAGCCCCCATATACCTAGCTAAATTATCCTAAGCCCTTAACCCTAAACCCTAAACCCTCAAAACCCTAAGCCAATCCTGAAAGCCAGGCTCCGTGCAAAGAAGCCCGGGCGCAAGGAACCCCGCGATCCTGCCGGGAGCTAAGATGGGACGGTTGCAGCACCCATGGCATCTTCAACACCTTGCGTCCAGATCCTGAACACTCTAGAAAGGAAGGGGGGGGTTTAGTAGGGTTTAGGGTTTAGGGTTTAGGGTTTAGGGTTTACGGTTGACATCACCTGAACAACCTCGGTCACAGGCAAGCTACCACAGGAGCCCCTGAAGCAAAATGGGTTTAGGGTTTAGGGACGGGTTTGGGCAAGAGGGGTAGACAAGTTATACGCTGGTAGCTGGCCCGAGGCAGACGACGATGACGACTGGCACGTCCGTCGCCACAACTCCGACTGACTTCCGCGAAGCCAAAAAAGAAATACTGCCAAGGGTTCCACCTGGTGTGGCTTAGGGTTTAGGGTTCAGGGTTTAGGGATAGGGGACCTAATGAACCCATTTATGGCTCACATACCCTAGTAGGATCGAATAGGGATTGTAGCATTGCAGGGTCGATGATGCCAAATTGTAGGGTTCAGTTGCTCCCCAAGGCACTGCTAGCTCCATTTTTGGGGTGACTGCAATGTATCTTGTTGCAATGTATCTTGTTACGAGGTGCTAGGGGCTTCTTGAAGTTTCAGGGTTTAGGCTTTTTCGGGGTTAAACTCATTACAAATAAAAGCAGAAACGTCATGCACTTCCTTGTTCAGGCCCCTGGTTCTTAGACGAAAGAATGGACAGCTTCGTGCTGCTGGAATGTAAGGGAAGCGGGGTGTTCCCTTCGAAGTATCTCTAGGATTCTTGAGGCTTTAGGCGTTAGGGTGCAAGGTTTAGGGTTTAGGGTTTAGGGTCTGAGCGAAAGCGCACTGCACTACAGACGCGAGTACCGAGGCCTCCAAAGTGCCTGCAATAGTGGGCCTCTAGCCGTTTTCAAGCATTCACGACTCACAAGATGGGCGAATTCCCTAAGGGTCCATGTTCCTAAATAGGGAATGGGGCTCCACAGTCCCTATATAGGAGGTACTTTAAGGCCCAAGTACTCCCTATTTAGGTACATGGACCCTTAGGCGAAGATCCCAACAGGGTAGGGCCAGGCCAGTGCAGGAGCTCCGTTTGCAAGCAACGGGGCTGTGTGAAGGATCCAAGGGCCAAACGCTAGCATTCGTGGTCCCGAATGTTGTCGCCGTGCCCCCTCCCCCCACCCCGACCCTGAACCCGAGACCCACATCAGCTAGTCAGGCGGCAACGCAAAAACACCTTAACCTCTATAAACCCTAAGCCAAAAACCCTTACCTACCCAACCCTAAACCCTATGTCACGCCCGAATACCCTAAATCCCGCCAAGCCCCACAAAAAACACCTCAGCTTCGAGGTTGTTTTGTCCCTGGAGCCCTTGAACGTGAAGGAGGAGGTGCCAGCGGGTTTAGGGTTTAGGGTTTAGGGTTTAGGGTTTAGGGTTTAGGGTTTAGGGTTTAGGGACCTGGAGGTCGAGAGTGATGATGTCTGTCTACCCAAAGTATGGGAATCACCTTGCCTTCCATCGTTTTTGTTGGTGTTCTGTATGTGGGTATGTAAGGAATAGCCCTAAACCCTGAACCCTAAACCCTAAACCCTAAACCCTAAACCCTAAACCCTAAACCCTAAAGGGTCCTAGGTTTTGGGTTCTGGGGGTGCCACATGATGTGGAGAACGTGTGGACTTCATAGCCCGGATGCATAAACAAATTAGGTTGGATAAACGCCCAGCAGGGGTTTCTGGAGATGATGCTTACTACCTACTAATTGCTTAAGAACCCAAAAAGTAAAGACACATATTCTTCCTTATTGAGGGGTAATATAGGGATTATTGTGTTTTTATTTTTTTGGGGTTCTTGAGCAAATAGTAGGTATGGGTTGAAGGGGTCGCGGAGTTTTGGACTTTGGGTTTGGAACCGCAGGGCGCAAAACTATATTCCCGTCTGGGCGTCTTTTCATTTCTTTTAGGGTTTAGGGTTTAGGGTTCAAGTGGAACTAGCTCGAAGGAACTTCCCTACTGGCAAGCTGAGTTGGCACCCTTTTTGTTCCTAGGTTACTCCCGGGTCTAGGTTATAACACCCATGAACTTCCAAGTAAACCCTAAATCCTCCCCTACTACTAGGGGTCGGAATATTGACTAGTAGCATTTCGTTCTGGTCCCT